CAAAAGTTAATAATGTTTATTGATTTTTAATATTAATTGTTCAAAAATATTAAAATAAAATTTTAATTACAATTGATAGATCAAATGAAATATTATTCATTTTTTTAAAATCAATAAAAATGTAATATAAATTAAAATTCAATAAAAAAGAATATAAAATAAAAAAATATCATATCTTTATTTAAAATATTCTTTATAATATTAATTTAAAAAAATATTAAATTCTAATTTTATTAAAAATGATTAAACATTATTAATTGTTATTAAAAAAATTAAAAGAGTATTTTAATATTTTTTTATATTTTTAAACAATTAATAATGTTTATTGAATTTTAATATTAATTATTTAAAAAATAAAAATATTAAAATAAACTTTTAATTACAGTTGATAAAATATTAATAATATTCATTTTTTAAAAAATCAATAAAAATTCAATAAAAAATTAAAATTCAATAAAAAAGAATATAAAGCTAAAAAAATATCACCTCTTTATTTAAAATATTCTTTATAATATTAATTTAAAAAATATTAAATAAATATTAAATTTTAATTTTAATTTTATTAAAAATGAATAAACATTATTAACCGTTGTTAAATTTTTTAAAAAGTTTATTTTAATATTTTTTATATTTCTAAACAGTTAATTTTAAAAGTCAATAAAATTTTCAAAAATATATAAAATTTATAATTTTTAAATTATAAAATATTTATTATTATCAATATCAACATCATTTTGAAAAAAAAAATACTAACTATAAAACTTTTATAAAATTATTCATATTTTTTAAAATAATTACTCTCAAAGTTTTCCTATACTAAATTATAAATATTGTGTAATTTCATACAAAAATCAAAATTTGTCAAGTTATAAAATAATTTGTAAAAGAATATTTAAAGATTTTAATGTAGATTTTTTTCACACACAAAATAAATAATTAAAATTGACGTTTCTATACAAATATCACCATAATATAAATTAATTACATATTAGGCACCATGTTAAAAATATTTACAAAATTAACACCTAAATTTTTTACTCGTTTCACAAGGTGCGCCTTACCTACGTAGAGTAAGTGTAACACCCCTAACCTGTACCCGACCCGAGTACGAGTCTGATATGTGACATTACCTTTTTAAAATAATTTCCTTATAAAATAACAAAATATTTGAACTTATTTTAGGAAAATAAGATAATATATTATTAAATTATATTCAGTATAAAATTTTGAGGTAAAAAAATATATTTGCGAACAATAAAATACGTATAAACAATAATCTGCTACAGTACCGTGAACAGTAACCTGTTACAGTATCCGAAATGTTAAATTTTCCAGTTTACAAATAGGGAATCGATCCCCCTGCTACAGGGAACCGATTCCCCTGCTACAGTACTGCTACAGTACTTCCGTAAAAATGTACATAAAATTCGTAAAAATTCATCTGTTCATTACTATACACTTACATAATTACATTTAAAACATTAGAAAAGGCGATTAGAGTGTTTGTAACTAACAACTTATTACATGCCAACATACTTTATACAACTAAAATACATACTTTGTTGTTTACTTCTGATTTGATCCCCTAATGATGGTATGCTGCGTTGCTGCTCTTAAGATCGATCTTTTTACTTTTCTGTACCTACGTGTAAATCACTTACACGCTAAGTCATAGACTTAGTGAGGCATATAAATATAATGATGATATATTCCTTATAAATATGAACATGTGATCTATCCATTCAATGATCTAACATATAACAATAATAATGCAATTACCTTTGATAACATTCTATAAGCCCATGTACATTACTGAGAACTCAAGGTATTCGAGTACATTGAGGTTGTGCACTATTGCTGTCACCACAGCTCGTATAGTCCCACTGAGTGGCATATGAAATTTGTCCCGAAGGACCTGTGAATAGTCCCGAAGGACCTATGAGTTGTCCCGAAGGACCTATGAAACCCTCGACTCTTGGCATGCCAACTATACCTATAGCTCTCATATCGTATACTATGGGCATCATTCTTATATTTCATATGTTCATGTGCTCATGTCACTTATCATATCACATATACATTTGAATTTATTCACATATCTCATTTATCAAATCATATGAGCATATATACCTTATGCATGTATCATAATAATTATCATGTATGCATGTTCATAACTATTGTTCTATAAAAATCAACATAGGATTAGACTTATCACAAGTCTTATTCCATTGTACTACCCTTAAAATAGGCACTCACCTTGGCCTCGCTTCGTTGTTTCAATCCTAACTCTTTGATTGTCCGGAAGAATTACGTTTTATATCTGCATAAACATAATTTTCAAGATATTTATCAGAAGTCTAAACCTTGTAATTTGATACTAACAACTTAAACTAATTTAATAAACCAAACTTCAACATTTTCTTTTAGGGGGAATCGATTCCCCCCAAGGGGTATCGATTCCCTCTGCATAATCTGAAATTTTACTGTTCAAACCCGAATATCATCAACTCTTCACTAAATTTCTCAGACAAGGTTCCTTTCATACCACCAAACTTAACTACAACCATTTTAATTAACTTCTATCAATTCCAATACTTTAAAATCTCCCATGCTTCATTCAAATTCTCAAAGCTAAAAATCATACCCAATTTTCAACATGTTTTAAATCCAATTCTAACACTCCATATTCCTTAATTAACTTCTTGACAAGTCAAAAATCTTATTCTAACTTCAAAAACTCATTCATATCAAAATTTCATCTAAAAACCCATTTTCCAAATATATCTCTAAAACACTTATCTTGTTGTCTTAATGTCATATAAGCTTTCATTTAGCTTATATAACATCCAAACTTCAATTTCCAAGCTAAAAATCAAAGAAACGACCAAGGTTCTGATTCTTACCTTAAGCTTGGGTCTTCACGTTTGGAAGAAGAGAAGAGTGAAGAAGATAAGAAAGAAGGAAGAAGAGATGAGAGAAATCTGGAAACATTTGTTTCCTACTCAAGCCCCACGTGAGTTATAATATAACCCTTCAAAATTCTCAATTATAAATTTTCTTTGCAAATGACCAGTTTTTCCTTTAATTCATTTCATATTTACTAACAATTATTTATAAACTATTTAATTATTCTACTTTAATCATCAAATTCTGAATTTTTACAATTTAGTCACTAACCCGTTATTTGGGATATTATAGTAAGGCGTGAGCTTTTCTATAAAGGGTGGTAGATCGATAATTAAAGATGAAAGGATGTCTAACAGGTAAAAAAAATTCTCAGTGTGATTTTTTTTAAAAAAATACCTTTTATAAACGATCTTATTTTGACATTTAAATATTCAGATTGCGATCAAATTTTATAATTATATAAATAAAAATTACAACTTTTAATATAAATATTATTTATTTTTAAATAATAATAAAAAATTTTAAATGATTAAATCAAGTTTTTTTTAATAAAAAAGTTAGTATTTATTCCTTAGGATTGAATAATCACTGAAGATTTGATCGCATTTAATGTAATCTAGTTTAATTATGAGGTACAAACTATTAAAATGAATTGATATTATTAAAAATTATGATTTTGAATATTAATGATTACAATAAAATAATTAAATATTAAATATTTAAAATAAATATTATTTTATAATCATTTTATTTTAATAAGAAAAATAGTTTAATCCCGAGGCCAACAGTTCATTGTTATTAGCTTTAGTTATGGATAGGGAGAAGATAAGAATAAAAAGCCAAAAGTGAAAAAAGATGATAAGTTCAACACATCATGTCACGATCATCTGACAAAATGCATATTCAACATTATCCTATTATTATTATATAATATTGTCTAAGTAAAACAATCTAATATAAAATTAATGAAAAATATTATTTGAGATGTTAATAATTTTTTAATATTTTCGATAGAATCTTACTTAATATATTATCTTTTATATCAAAAATATTAATATTAAAAATATTTATTTTAAATAGTAAAATTAAATTTTTTGATATAAAAAATAATATTTTAAATAGTATTCTATCAAAAATATTAAAAAATATTAATATTTTCTATTGTGTATTTTCTTTAACTTACATTATACTGTCGTAGAACAAAATTACCCATTATTCTATACATCCAAATCTAAACTAAGACAGATTCGTCGGTGATTTAAAAAAATTAATTAATTAATTAAAAGATTATTCATAAATATTTTTAAAAAATATGTTGAATGCTTTTTAATATAGAAACATATCTTATCCTAAGAAATCATATCCATTTATTTTCACTTTAAATTTTATATTCATTGAATTTATTATTATTTTTAGTGATTTAGAAAAAGAAATTAGATTAATTTTTTCAACGAAAAAACTCCTTGATCTGATCCGTCGGTCGTTTTTATCGTTAAATATGTGTATATAAGAGAGAGCACGAGACAGAAATAGGAATGGTTTTATTTTAGTATTTCCCCGTTTATTTTATCCCAATAGTCTGTCTGCTAAGGAAGACAAATAAAGAAAGTAAAATGGGGAGAGAACAAGGTTTTGTTCATTAACTACGGGATTCTAGAAAATATAGTGAAATATAAAATTAATAAAAGATGTTATTAAAAATATTAATATTTTTTAATAATTTTGATTGAGTATTATCAAAAATATTAATATTAGATATAATTTAAAATATTATTTTTTATAAAAAATATTAATATTAGAAATATTTATTTTAGATAACAAAATTAATATTTTTAATAGAAAAAATAATATTTAAGATAACATTCTACTAGAAATATTAAAAAATATTAATAATTTCTATATAATATTTCTTTAATCTTATATTAGACTGTGTATATTAGAACTTCACACTAACTACCGTTTACCAGCAACTTGCAGATTTGCATTCAAACACGTTCTTAGTGTCAATCTCCGTAAATAAACCTAAAACCAGTGTTCTTTTAATTCCTGTCTTCATTACCAGAACAAGTTTTTCTCTCCCTTTATTCTCTTTTTAATCTAATTTCGTCTTCTCTTTGGATATCTTAGTCAATTTACATATTTAAAAAGTTGAAGATATGGGGAATGCAAACGGAAGAGAAGACGGAGCCAACGGTGGTGTCGACGATCTATCCAGAAGATCCAATGGCGGCGAGCCCGTAGTTCTAGGAGCCGCTGCAGTTGGAGTTCGCGTGCCATCGTCTGATTCAATGGTGAATAGGCCGCCGCAGAGTCCTCACCGGTCTCAGTCTCCTCTTTTGTTCGCTCCTCAGGTTGGCATCTTCAGTTTTTAATGATCTTTTCAGGACTTTGAACTTATTGTATTTTTCAGTAATTTAAAGCAGTCAAATATCTGAAAGTAACATAAAGATATTTGAATTGGGAAGATTTGAGCTTTCGTTGTAAATTGGAAATAACTTACTGAAGAACAAATTAAAAGTTGTGAATAGTTCCACTTTCATTGAATGAGATATGGTAGGCGGCGTTTGAGCGTGTATTTTGGTCAATATTTGGGCAATTCTGCAGATTTTGGTCAATGAGGGTGTTGATATTTTTTTAAAAGCTGTTTAAGCTTGTTGCTTTTTGAGAAATTATTAAAAGATTGAGAAGAAAAGTGATTTGGACTTAAAAATGGAACTAAAAGTTAATACTTATGTAGGATCCTTTTAGCATAACATGCTCTGATTTGGTTCAGTTCATTGCTTTTTAAAAATTTTGTTTGAGAAAGTTGCTGTGTTTGCACATGTTGTAAAGCTTAAGAGGGGTTACTAAGTCTTTATGATCATCGTTTGAGCTGATGATTGGTTCGAACTAATCTGAAAACTTTTGTGACAAATGGTAAGGAGGAATTGTGAATGATAAGACTAACCAATGCTGATACCCTAAAGTATTAAACTTTTGGACAGAATCTTCTTTGCTGTTGGAATATCCAATCTCATTTGCGTTTACATTGGTTTCTGCCCATGAGAATGGTTGCCCTTTGACGTGTGTGTTTTTAATTCCTTCTTATATTCTTGTGGAGCTTTAGACACTTAAATATTTTAGGGGTTGATAATCTGCATTGCTTGCAAGTTACTGATTGTGTAAATTGTTATTTCTATATGTTTCTTTTAACTTGTTAGTCTTCTGTCCCGGTCAGATGGTCATTTTTATTTCTTAAAAGTTATTTGGGGCCTTGGCCATAATTTATTGGCGCATATTCATCAGCTTATGCCGTGGTCTGTTTTTGGATTGCCAAGTGAGGCGAGGGAGAAGTATGCTGATCTGATGGTTCACCTATTGAGTAGAGAGTTTTGTCAGAGTTGTGGCCTTTCAACTGATAGGTTGGTTAATTTTGGTGCATTTTCAGGTTCCTGTAGCTCCCTTACCAAGAGCTGATGGTCATTCCTTTTTCAACCAAACACGGCAGCATGAGTCTCTTGTGGTTCCTGATAGTCCATCCGAGAAAGGAATCCCTGTCATTATTACATGGAATTATGGTGGTAATGATGTGGCCGTGGAAGGTTCTTGGGACAATTGGAGATCAAGGTAGGTCTATAGTCACATTTTCATGCATGAGAAATCTGCTGTTCCTTTTTTCATCCAAAACCCAACCATGGACATCATATAATAGAGAGTATTGTTGTTCTTCTGCAGGAAGACAGTACAGAGGGCAGGTAAGGACCACTCTATTCTTTTGGTCCTTCCATCTGGCATATACCATTACAAGTTCATTGTTGATGGTGATTGGAGATATACACCTGATCTGCCTTTTGTGTCTGATGATATGGGCAACGTTTGTAATCTTCTTGATGTTCATGTATGTATCATATCTCCATATATGCCCTCTTGCTCACTTTTGAATCATGTACGTTTATTTTACTTCTTTTAATGGTGCTTCTTGGGCAGCTTTGCATGGATGATTGGCATTCAAAACTGTGCATTTACAAATTTAACATATGTTGTTGCTTAAAAACTGAAAAGAGAGGTTTAAGGTATATAGTTTTGAGCACACAAGGAGTAATATCAAATATGTATGTTACTGTATTTAGGTTCTATCTTGTCTAAAACATATCAATAATAATTGTATTACTCCTCTCGTTCCTAGATAGTGTAACTGAGTTTGAGGCTCCAGCATCTCCAAATTCGAGTTATGGCCAGGCACTTCCAACTGAAGAAGATTTTGCAAAGGAGCCTGCTGTAGTTCCATCCCAGCTACATGTAACCGTCCTCGGTTCAGATAGCCAAGACGGAGCATCATCCTCGAAGCCTCAACATGTGGTACTTAACCACCTTTTCATAGAGAAAGGATGGACATCACAGTCTGTTGCTGCCCTTGGATTGACCCATAGGTTCGAGTCCAAATACGTGACTGTTGTACTCTACAAGCCACTCAAAGGGTAATATGTACATCCCCATGCCCGACTCTGTAAAGAAACCAAAGTAACTTTCACATTTGTTGGTGAAGAAAGTACTTTGTTTTATAGACCGTGCTTCTACACTTTTTAACGTGAACAACATTAACTTGGTTTGTAAAGTGTGCTATTCCCCCCCCCCCCCCCACCCATTTTATTAGCGCTTGAAAGTTGAGCAACTGATATACTATTTTTGCTTCGTCTGGCTCTTCTAAAGCTTTAATAAACCAGAAAGAATAAAACGAAAGTCTGTCTTGATTGTATTTTATAATAATTCTGGCTTTTTTGGATTAGTAAGGCTTTGTGCTCCTTTGGATTTGCTACAATAATTCTTGGTTGATCTTTCTGCAAAAGTTGGAAAGTTTAAGCCCATGACCCAACTTTTCAATAATTCTTGGTTGGCCCTTCCGCAAAACTTGGAAATTTGTGAGAAATTGAGTTATTTTCAGAAATGAATATCGAATTGGGCTATATATCTAATATATAAAATATATGTGTACAATATGGCAATATCTTTAATTTTTGAGTTTATAAATGTAAAATATTTATCTGTTATATTTATGCCTGAATATTAGTCAAGTAAAATTTGTTTTCTTTTAATTTTTAAGTTAAAATTATTTTATATTAAGAAAATAATGATCTTCAATAAAAGAGGTTTTTAAAATTGTTCAAGCAGTGGCTGTGGATGCACGATAGTTGAATTAATTCTAAGACTTTTAAATAAGGAGCGGGAAACGAAAATTAATCATATTAGACGAGACGGAAACAAGGTGACCTGTAAACTGTCGAGTCTAGCCAGGGGGCAACCTACCAAACTTTTAATAGTTAGCTTTTATTGCTGATCTATATTACCAAAAAATATAAAAGAGGTTTTTAAAATATCTAAAAAATTAGTATAAGTATTTTTTAAAAATTAAATAATGTTATAAAAAAATTAATGATAATTTTACCTAATTTTAAGTAACCATATCTCCTAGCGATCCCTTCGTATCACTTAAGATGCGTTTTTCAAGAAAAATATTGACATGACACTACATGAGAATACACACTTCAAGGACCATGTCCTCTAGGGTTTTCTTACCACATTAGATTCCCTAAAAATATTTTAAAAAAGTATATATTTTTATCTCTATATCTAATGAATTTACTTATACATTATTTTTAAATTACATTAGGTTAATATTTATTTCTAAGAATTATATTAATTAATATTATATATTTTTCATATGTTAATATATTTAAATACTTTTTTTTTAATTATAAGTTCAAAAAAATTTAAGTAACACAAATTAAAAATATTTCATTGAGATATAAAATGTATTACTTATTAAATATGATTAATTAGATTGTTATGTGATCTTGTATGATTATATAAATTATAAATATATTTATATTATCGTTTTTTAACTAATATATTATCATTTTAGTAGTAACAACTAATGGTGTTATCATTTATATACATAAATTTTGTTCTTAACCATATTCAATAAATAATGCATTTACATGTCAATGAAATATTTTTAATTTTTATTACATAAATTGTTTGAACACATAATTAAAAATAAATATTTAAATATATTAATATATAAAAATATCTAATCTTAATTAATAAACCTTAATAAAAATCTTAATAATAAATATTAACATAATGAAATTTAACATGAGTGTATAAGTAGATTCATTATATATAGAGATAATATAAAAAAAAAATTAAGGAATACTCATTTTAGCTTTTATCTCACGTTGTCAAGAAACATTACATAAATACTCCAATATGCCTATATAAACTAATATCATTAGACTCTTCAATTCATGGAACTAATATGTATTAAATTATATTGATGATCTCTATAATTTTATTTTTTATTTTTTAAATATGCTTTTAGGAAATTTGATGTGGCAAGATAACCCTTAGAAAGCGCTCTCCAGGGGACATGCCTTCGGTCCCTAACAGGGTGCTAGATCGATAAAATTTAGACAAACGATACATGTTAAATAATATTATAATATTTTGATGATTTTTTTGGTAAAAACACCCAATAGTTGAATGGACGATGGATTTGGTGTAATTAGTGTTTTAAAAATCGGACCGGATCGACCGGTTTAACCAGGAACCGTTGATTAGTCCGGTTCAATCTAGACCGGTTGAATCGCTACTAGTGAACCGGCCGAAATCGTTGAATCGTTCAAATCGGACCTGCTAAAAACCGAAAAAAGCTGGGAAAAGCCGCCAATTTTGTTTTTTTTTTTTAAAAAAAATTAAACCAAACGACGTCATTTTCTAAACGAGCCAAGTCGAACTTGAGTATTACTGAGCTCGACTCGAACTTGAAAAATTTAAAAGTAAGCTCAACTCGACTCAAACTCACGAGCTAAAAATTATCAAGTTCAACTCGAACTCGAAATATAATATTGAAAATTGAACTCGAAAAGGCTTGAACTCAAAAAAAAATTTAGAAACTCGATTGAAGCCTAAAATTCGAGCTTGATTGAAGTGAAAGAATAGTTCACTCAATGCTCACCAAAAGGCTCTATGATTTTGAATGTCAAATTACCTCTATTATTTATAGAAGTTAGTTGGGATGATCTTCTATGTTTCTTAGTCATGTGAGATTGTTTTTAAAAAAAAAAATTAAACCAAACAATATCATTTTGTTATGATTTTTTAGCCCCAAATTTATTTTTTAATTATAGTTATATAATTATATTTATTATTTAATATGTTTTACCATAAATATTATGTTGTAGTTAATTTGAATCATTTTGTTTCACTTAGATTTTATGGTTTTTAACTTATATATGTTATGACTTGCTTTGAATATGAATTGTAATATAAAAAATTATATTTTATTAAATATTTTTGGTATTTTTATTTAATTTTTTAAATAATTATGACGTCATTCGGTTCTTCCGATCGATCAGATCGATTCGACCAGTTAAACTAGTGAATCGGTAGCATGACCGGTTCGCTAACCGGTTCGGTTCTGAAAACGATGGGTGTAATATAGTTTTGATACAGACGCCCAAGGCTAATTGGCTTGGTCTTTTTCTCATCTTTCTTTCCATTTCCGGATTCCCTGTTCGCACCTGACTGTCCCATCCTGTCCTACTCAGCGAACCTAAAACCTGTTCTCACCTTTAGCTTTATTCAACACTTTATTGTTTCTCCATCCTGTTAATTGCTTTTGTTTGATTATTTTTACCCTCAACACATCGACACCAAAAATCCCATCCCTCTAGGGGCTTAGTTTTATGTCCTTTGAGTCATTTTGGTGAACTCGCTCGTTTTGTTAGGTTTATGTTAACATAGAAATCAATCATGCAGCTAAACCATAACATCATGGATTTAATTCAATGAATCATATATATATATATATATAAAAGAGAGGAATGATGATGTCACTTTCATGTTTTCATCGTCACCCTGCAATAATGCATAATACTATCAAGGAATAAATAATTGCAAAACCGTAGCTAGTGGATGTGGCGTTTCCTTCCCCTTTCAAACGGTCCATTAAAAGCCTTACAAAGGTAATGTCAACTTCACCCTTTTTAGGGTCCCTTCCCTTCATTCCTGCCCTTTGGATTCTCATGCCTTAGTTGCAGCTTCAATCATTTAACTCTGAACCGATCTCCCCACTCACCACGCTTGGCTGAGGGCCAAGAGCCTAAGAGGATCCTCAGCTAATGGTATAATTTCATTTTTAATCCATTAATTTTTTTAATAATTCATGTTAATCACTATCAACCCCTTGACGGAACAAGGAAACAATAGTTTAGTTCCCAGTAAATCAATAATTAAATTTAGGGTATTCTAACACTCATTTTTAGTTTTGGTCCAAGACAATTCAATCTTATCTAGGCTCCCCAAAACAGAATACTCGATAAAATCTATAGTGTGTTCAGTTAAACATCAAAATCAGTTCTGGGAAGCAAGGGAAAGGAGGAAATTGTGTTTAGGGATCAAAGTTGAATTGTTCATTTCTGGAAGGGCCAGAGTATCATTTTAGTATTATACTAAAGTTAATTTTATAATTTTTGAAAGGAGTAAATTGAAGTTATAACATTTAGAGGGAGTCAATGCTCCTCCACTCTGTCACTGCTGCAAAGGTTTTACTTTCGGTCAATAAAGAAAATTTAATGTTAATATTCGGTTTTTAGATTAGCTGGATATCACGGTATACTGATCAACTGAAATTTTCGAATAAGGGTGTAACTGATGATTCAAAGTTCAATCCATGTACATCTAATTACACGAACTCAGCCTTCAGCAAATCTTTCAAATTGCCAATTCTGACATGTTTTTATTTTTAACGTTAAAACCTACGTGGATTGATTGATGTCTGATTAGATTAGGCTAAGGCTAAAGTTTAAGGGATAAGTATGAAACAATAGTGACACACCACTTTGAAAATAAACCAGACATCTTTCTTTCTTCTTCTTTTTTGAACAAGGACACAGTGACTGGTTTTCACTGTTATTTTGATGCTTCGCTTGCCTTATTCAAACTGACTTCCTTTTTCGATCTCTTTTTAAAAGGGAAATAGTTAGTAGTGAAATTAATTTGGTGGAAAAAAAAAGATTAAGAGTATAGTGAGATGAAAGTTTAGAATCTATGTGAGATGGTCATATAGATTGTTCAAATTGATGACCTAAAAGGAGAATAATATTACTGACAACACATGTTCGTCATATAAATATAATTGTTAGAATTTAAAATCTTCGAGGAAAATAATTTCATCTTTTATCACTATGGGATGAGTTCTACTCAGTGTAATTTTTAGATTATCATAGGAATAAAATTGTCACCGAAATTCGATATATAAAAGTTTTGCTTAAGAAAATAATAATTTGTAATGAGGCGTGCATGAAACCAATAAGCTAACAAATTGCATTAATTATAAAACCTCCAAGTTTCCAACGAATGGTCAGTATTAAAAAGGAGACAACATGTTTCTATTTCCAGATAGATGTATGGAATATGAGAATTTCTATGTATAGGTCAAAATTGAAAATTCTCACGCAAAAGGAAAAAGAAAGTTGATGCTCAAGGAGAGATTCGAGATATGAAAATACCTGTAAAACCCAAGAATAATACGCAACTTTACTAAGGCACACTGATCTTCAGCTGCTTTTAACAGAAGAAGAAAAATGTGGAGCAATGGTTACAAGCAGTCTTGTAGATGTATAAAAAAGGTCTCTTTTGGTTGAGCCAAGAATTGGGAAAATTTTGGTTTTTTGTGATTTTGCCCATAAGCACAGTGGATACAATAAATTAGACAAGTTGATGGAGTGAAAAGTGTGTTAATTTGTGACATTTGTTGATGTTGTTGTGGTGGGGAAAGAGAGAGAGTAAGCAATCCATTGTTTAGCTAGCCCACAATCTTTTTGTTTTGCTGCCTTAAATGGGAAACGTTCTTCTCAACTCCTTCCTCATTTTACTTCGTGTTACACACTTTTAAAGATAAACCCACAAGCCTACAACTCCCTTCCTTATCAGTTATCGCCCCTTTCCTTTGTTTGTATCCTTTTAAAAGTTGTGCAAAGAAATTTGTTTGAAAGTCTGGTTAATTTGGGCTATTGGTTCTTTGTGGGATTTTTTTATGGTGAATAAAATGGGGAGTCAGGAGAAACATGTGACTGAGGAAGCTGGTTTTGGTGGTGGTCCAAGCCAAGGAACTTTTCCAGTTCAACAGGTATCTTTTTCCAGCTTCTTTGTTTCAAAGTTTTCATTTCATTTTTTTTTGGATCCAGTAAGAATGCTGTTCTGGAGAATTGAAGAAAATTTCCATGGTTTTTTAATGCTACCAAATGATTGTTTTTTATTTTTGGATTATCTTCTTTTTGAACAAATGATTGTTTAGCCCTTTTTGTGCTCTGCGTGGCTTCTGACAACTTTTGATTTAGTTTTTTTGGGGGGTGAAGTTTTAGCTCTTTCTTAATCTTATACAGTCTAATTTTATAACAAAGTAAGCTTAGTACCTGCTGCAAGTGGTACTGCTTTGAAAAGGTGCACATCATGCATGTCTACTTGATCTAAATATTGTTTCTGCATAACTTTGTTAGCTTTAGACTGGCCAACTGAGCTGTGTTATTGATCTTCTAATGTTTAAGAGGAATGCTTGCACTGCTGTATTTGAAATTGCACAACTAATCTGAGAAAAGAAGTTAAACATGAGCCGAATCACTCCGCCATATCGTCTTCTGTTATGGAAGTAGTTTCTCTCGGGACATTAGCCCCTTATATCATACCTGGATAAAGGTTTCTATTGAGATTTTAGGTTCATTTACCCAGAAAATATGAACTATTTTTGACGAATTCTATGTTTTACTTCCGTGAGTCCGAGAGTCTATACCACAGAGCTTGTCCATGTTACAATTGCAAAGTATTTTTAACATTTCTTGTATTGGAATACTTTGACGAAAGACGGTTGGCTTGTCTTAGTTACAAACTGCCAAGGGCAGTGTATCTTTGTATGTTTTTCTTGCATGATGATAAATTGTTATTGGTTGCTTTTCAGGTTGAAGATTCAACAAGAATAGCTGAAGATACAGCTCGTTCTCGTCATTGGAGGCGAAACAATCTCTCTCTAGAGATACCCTCAAGAACTATCCAAGAATCCGTCGTAGTAAAGATTCCCCCAACACCTAGTCCGACTCCTAGGAAAGTGAACTTTCTCTTGACACCAAATCCATCTGATGCAATAACTAGTGGCTCCCCAGGTCCCTTCTCATCTAGAGGCAAATCGTCCTTGAAAAATCTCCTACCAAAACTAAGCTTCAAGCAGAGAAATGCTAATTTAGATATTGAAAAGGCTGCAGCCATTGCTCTAGCATCTTCTTCTACTTTACAAAGGGAGAAGCCCTCCATCTCAAGGACATTGTCAATTTCAAAGATATTTACTCCTAGGATAAAAAGGACGTCATCGTTGCCTGTAACTCATATTACTAATTCGAACCTGGAGCCTACGAGCACTGGAAGCCTCAGTGGCTCTGTAAACCCTAATGTACGTTTTGTTCTATTTACTCCCTATGAGAAAACGGACATCATCATGCCTAGTTGGGTGTGCAATTCTCACTTTAATGCACAAGTCATAGTATTTAATTGCTAGTCATTGCATAATGTAACATCTCTATAATCTATTGACCTGACCAAGTGATGGGCTTAATGTTCAATGAGGGCCATCTGAAACTGTGTTAATGTGAAGTGGAACATACCTGTCTATAAATATTTTCTGTGTTTCTCCTTTCTAAAGTTAGTCAATTACTGCGTACTTGTTGATGTTATTAGTTCCTTTGCAGAAAAAAGGGAATGTGTTGCAGATATCTCGCTCATTTTCTGTTCCTGTAGATGGCAAAGAAGGAAAATTAAGGAGAATGGGTTCATTTTTTCGGGTGATCCACTCAACTCCACGAGTAAAGGAAGGAGAAATAAGTTCAAATGTTTCTACGGGGCCTGATGCTGGTATTCCACCGTTGCCTTTATCTTGATTTTTATGTTTATGTTCATTTTTTAAAGTCTAGTTGCTCTATTTTAATCCATAGAGACTTGTTAGCATCTGTAAGTTTGTTGTCAAGAAATGTGAACCTTTTTCCCCTAAAAAGTTCTTTCGGTTTCGAAGATGCCAATGGCATCAGAAATGGAATCTTAAACCGTTGGATGAACTCTTTATATCATTTAGCAAGAAAATAAAGACATAAAATGCTCAGCCTTGAACTTCTGTCAGTAATAAATTTCTAGATAATTACACTGTACTTTTGGGATCTATTAACTATCATCACAAGTCAAGGTCTTAATGAAAACTTATTATTCAGATAACAGTGATCCTGATGGTGAAGACATACCTGAAGAAGATGCTGTTTGTAGAATTTGTCTGGTTGAATTATGCGATGGAGGTGAAACACTGAAGATGGAATGCAGCTGCAAAGGCGAGCTTGCTTTGGCACACAAAGACTGTGTTGTGAAATGGTTCAGCATCAAAGGCAACAAGACCTGTGATGTGTGCAAGCAAGAGGTTCAGAACCTACCTGTCACACTTTTACGAATCCAAAGTATTCATGGTGGAGGTCTTCAGGCTGACGCTCCCAGGTATAGGTAACAAACCATTTGTTAATGGATGAACTTATTTACCTATGATTGCTAAAACTCCTAGGATGCTGATAAAAATATGATTGCTGAACTTACTAGTTTGATGTTTACAGGGTTTGGCAGGAGGCCCCTGTTCTTGTTATTGTCAGCATGCTTGCATATTTTTGTTTTCTTGAGCAGCTTCTGGTAGGATAAGTTGTTTCTTTTGTCTGATTTGCCCCGTTTTACTACTTGATATCCTTTACATATATTTATATTTGTTTACCTGCAGGTTGGAAAAATGGGAACTGGAGCAATTGCTATCTCTCTTCCATTTTCATGTATGCTAGGCCTCCTTTCATCCATGACTTCATCAACAATGGGTAAGCTCGGAAACATCCTTCGTCATCTTAAGTTGGAACTTGGTCAGCAGCAATTGTTTTAGATTTTATATTTGGATGCACCGTTTCGGTTTCGCCATTTTCTGTTTTAGGTTAGAAGCCGAGCTGGACTCTAGTTTCATGCATCCACATGCTTGCATATATAGCAGGCACTTGCAATGGATCAAGGAGAAACCATAGTTGATTAGGCTCCAAAAAGCCGTCAGAACTGTGAAATTTTATGGGAAAATCCTGCAAATTATTCTCAATATTCTGACTTAAACTTCTTGATCATTCGTATTCAGTGCAGCGGAGATTTGTGTGGGTTTACGCATCAGTTCAATTTTCTTTGGTGGTTTTCTTTGCTCATATATTTTATAATTTGGTAAGTGGTTGTCTACATATTTTAGCACCGATTTTCTTGGATTTGAAACAACTTGACTGTAAGATTGTGAATGGTTGAGGCAGAATTTTTCAGTCCTAGATATTATATACAAATATGTTATGATAATTCCATAGGTAAATTCAATGTTCATCCTTGTACCGAAACCGGTTATGAACATTCCGAAAGTAAAATATGTTTGAAAGAACAGAGTTGGCTCATATCCATTCGTCTTCAATGTTTGTTACCTGCAGGTGAAAGTACAAGCGATTCTATCAGTTCTCCTGTCAACATTTACTGGATTCGGTATTGCAATGAGCGGGACTTCTATGATTGTCGAGATCCGTCGATGGAGAATAAGATGGCAGGCTTGGTCGCAACAGCAAAATAGTCCGCAAACTATGACTCAACCGCAGGTCCAATCCCAATCCCAATCCCCTGGAGGTGTTAATGCACCTCAGACTCAACGAGGTCCTACAGTAAATCAGCAAAATGCAGAAGCTTCCACGGGGAGCTGAATTGGTTGATTACTCGGAAACCCGACAGTGGAGGCTCTAGCGCTATATTATGTTATTTAGACGATACTTGCTTCTGTAATGTAAATCAAATAGGCTCTCTCATACATGAAAGAGATTGGTTCAGAGACTGGAAACGAACATGCACCTCGAATTTATGTTTTGATCTCCCAAGAGACACTTCCGTGAACTAGGTTATAGTGTGCTTTGCCAAACGGTATATAATGAATACATGTGTGCAATTTAAGTTGCTTTTTTTTAATGCAGTTTCTTCTTTTCTATGACTGCTTAGTTTATTTTTTTTTGTTATTTGTTTCATAAAATGTGTTATTAATTTGAAATAAAAATATTTCATTATTTAAAAGTAATTTGAAAGACCCGGTTGTAAAAATATGTCACGTATTCAGCCATCTATGGTCTTCAGCTTCTACATAAATTTCTCGGATAATTCGTTCACCTATTTATTAATGACAAATTGGAGATCCTCCTTGTAAACTCCTTCCGCCATCAATCCCGTCATTTGAAGTTCAAAACACTGCGTAAGGCAACCACAAGCCTTGTTTCTACTTCAATAGTTCTATACGAAAACTCATAATTTTTCCCACAAGCCTATGTCACGAAGGAGCTTGCTTATTATGCATATAGAACAAGGTTAGTAGGGCTTTCCAGCTATTGAGAATTATATTCTCTTTTGTTTAATTTTTCCTTGTACAGGGAAACAATCTCCGTGGCAAAGAATTCAACTTGGCATTGCATTGGCATGTCATGCCTAAGACCGGAAAGATGTTTGCTGACAAAATCGTCCTTACCGGCTATAATTTTCCAAAGGAATATAGATAAGGTTTTCTTGGCGTATGTTTTGTGGTTACTCTAACTTAAGCTGTCTCAGTATGTTTGAGGACATTAAACCTCATTTGAATTAGAAACTTTGGAAGTTGACACTTCAACACTTCATGTTTGAGGAAATGGGTATTTCTCAACCTTTTTCGAACGCCTTTACGTTTTTTTGGTTTGCTATTTTTTATGGGTAAATTATGTCATTAGTCCCTTATGTTTCCGGTTTGATCGAATTTAGTCACCGATTCTCTAATTGAGTGTGCTTGATCCCTAACGTTAGTCTATCATGTTTAGGTTCCTCAGTCGTTAACTTCCGTTGGGAAGTTAACCCATTAACGGAAGTCTAAGTTTTCGTTAATTCATTAACGGAAGTCTAAGTTGACAATTAAAAAATAAAAACCCAACCTAGGTGTTTCTTCTCCTTCTTCCATAAACTTGCTTCATCGATTATGCTATAACTCTTGTCTCATGAAGTTGCATTTAATCACACACGCAAATATATAGTTTTTAACAACTACTTTAACAAATATCCACTTCTTCTTATTCTTCTCACTCTTTTTGTTTACCTCTCTCTCTCCCCTTCATTTCTTCGGCAGCAACTCTCACCGAAAACCCACCGACAGTGATTCACTTTGTTTCAAGTTTAACTACTCAAATACTGGAGCAGAAAGGGTACACTCGATTCACCCCTCACTATATGACTTGGTCTTCCAAAAAAACCATGCAATCTTCTTCTTATTCTTCAGCTATATCAGTGATTTTGGTTTCAAAACCCATGATTTTCCCAGAACAAAAATCAAGCCTTGAAGATCTCAAGGTTTCAGTTTCTGATAACAGCTTATCCGTTGGACCTTTGTCAATACAATGCAATCCCTCATATGGTTGTTCGAAACACAGTAAGTTCATTTCATTCTCCAACTTATACATTTCAGATTGTTTTCGGTGTTGCTCATGTTATTATCCGGTTGATTTTCAGATGCATGTATTGCCGAGGGAGATGTTCAAATTCTCGACATTTGGTATAGCCATGGCACTTCTCAAATGGTTCCCTTTAAAGCTAGTGGATAAGTTGCTTTTGCTGTTATCCAACTTCACCTTGGGCAACACGGATCAAATGGGTCTTCGGATGCAGAAAACGGGTCCGATTGAGCTCAAGAATGGCATCAAAAGACGCCGGTGCTCGATGTCGGTGCACTATCACAAATAAAGTCCAATAAAATCAAGGTAAAAAAACAGACCCTCGCGTTTCAATCGCTTTCTTATATGCTTTTCAAGTGCTTTGGTTTCAAAAATCATGCTTTTCTCATGATTTTCCCATTTTAAACCAATCATGGTCTTCCAAGTCACCAAGCTCGGCGAAGGTATCTTCATCGGTTGTTCGGTTAGCCACGAGGTGACTGACGGTACGTCGTTCGATGGATGTGGTGATGGAGAGCGTGGGTGGAAGGCGGTGGAATGGTTATGTGTGGTTTAATGTGAAGAAGAAGAAGAGCACGTAGAGGGTGGTGGCGGATGGCTGTCGGCGGCGCCTAACGCCGACGGTGAGAGGCGGACGACCACTGGGATTTTAGAGCTTCTCTTGAGACAAATGGAGCAAGATTTGCTTGAGAGAGAATGAAAGAAGAAAAAGATGAAGAAGAAGAAACCCGAAGAAAAAAAGGATACACAAGAAGAAAGAAGGTAAAAAGAAGAAGAAGAGAGACTACTATATAGTTTGTTCTTTTTTTATTCAAAACCCTGAATCAAATAAATCTTTAAATTGAAGTAAGAAAGGTTTCAAAGAGTTCCAAATATAAGATAAAAATCAAATGTAAATTACTTTGGTTTGCTTAACTGCTTTTCACAATTCTTTTACAAAATCAATTTGTTTAGAATCAGATTGGTAATTACAGTCAATAAATTCAATAAAAAAGAGTGATTACTACAATTGCTGGGCAGAGCTTATTTAAAGAGCTCGCTCCCCAGTGTTACAGCTTCAATCTCCTCTCCTGCTTCAAATTGTAAACGTCCAATTTCTGTCTCTTGAATTCGTTCAAGCTCTTCAACGATGCTCCTCATAGATGGTCTTTTCGGTCTAATATCCACACATTGCAGTGCCAAATCCACTATTTGTTTTGCACCGCGCATTGATTCTCTCCCTAAGGTTCTATCAACGATATTGTCCGAATACTTGGCCTTCAAAAACGAATGATGTTTTCGTTAGAACAGAAGATTGCTTACACAAGTACTTGGGAAAAACTGTATCGGATAACAATAAGAACACCGCAAAACCTGCATTATTAACGTTGTTTCCAAGTTTGACAGATCTCGACAAGCTGCTTCACATCCACTAATCAACTCGAGGAGGAAGACTCCATAGCTATATACATCGCTTTGCACTGAAAATTTCTTTGATGCATACAATCTTCAGAAAGAAAGGATGAATTAGATACAAGTAATGAAGCTAAACAATGGGTTTCTAAGGAGGACTGATTTGCATACTCTGGGTCAAGAAAGCAATCGATGGCTGAAGATGATGCATAAAACTGATTCTCAGACAACAATTTGGACAATCCATAGTCAGAAACCTTGGCAGTAAAGTTTTCATCTAGGAGAACGTTGCTACTTCTGAAATGCATGTGCAGAAGAGGAGGAGCTAAACTGTGAAGGTATTCAAGTCCTGATCCAAATTAAAAGGTACAGTTGAGAAAGCTAATGGTGTGGATTGCTATTTAGATATATAGATTTACATTTATAGATTGATGAATATACCTTTGGCCGCACCTAGAGCAATCGATAACCTTTGCCTAATGTTTAGTTCTCCAGTTGGTGAACCTTCATTATCTGGGAAAATAAGTGACAAAACTTCGGTTAATTTGCAGAGGGACAATTATAATTTGAAAGTATATGTAAAATAAATTATTACCATAGAGGTGATGTCCAACGTTTCCATTAGGGATATAATCATAGACAAGAAACTGCTGGTAGTTATCTTCACAATAACCAACGAGCCTGACAAGATGCTTGTGTCTCACTTGAGCTATTTGCTTAACCTGCGTTGAATCAAAACAGAACATAACTATAACTACTGTAACACAAATCTTGTTCCTTAGATGCTAAGAAATGTCACTTCTAGGGTTTTCTAAACGGTTTCAATTTGATGTTTTCTTGGTTCTAAGTTGTTGAAAATGGTTCCATTTATCTTCTCTGTTCTTGAATGCAAAGTTGCAGTAATGCAAACAAAGATTCAAATCAAGTGAAAAACAAATCTTAAAATCATCCCTATTGCCCTACCCTTTCACCTATGCTGTTTCCATGATCATGAATGCCTGAAACCGAACTTCTTTAAGTTGTCTCTAGCATCAGTATGGAATAGATGTTTTACCTCGTGAAGGAACACGGGAATTGGGGTGTTTAAGTATCTTTTGATTGCCACAATAGTTCCATCTTGAAGCAATCCTTTATGGACTAAACCGAATCGACCTTCACCAATTATATTACTTTGACTGAAGTTGCGTGTAGCTTGTTCCAGCTCTGACATTGTTAGTTGCCTTAGATTTTGTGTATGGATGGGAGACGGCACACCGGCATTGTGGGAAGTGTGAACTCTTTCCAACTCAACTGCTCAGACACAGAGATTGTTCTATGATGCAATTATTGTAAAGATGTCAATGTAATAATTGAGGTGCTACAATTATATGAAACGAGATTTACTGGAATCAGAAAACTTTAGAGCCTCGTAAAATTCTGCATCAAAGTTATGAAGACCGGCGTACCGGTAGAAGATGGCATAGAAGACGCAGCCCCAGATGTTCTCCTCATGAATCTTTTTACACGCATCAAGCAGATATACACAAGCACCAGAATGATCACGACAAGAAGAGCTGCACTGGTGCTGCCAATTATGGCGGCAAGAGTCTGTTTTCTCGGTTTCTTATCGCCTGTTTGCAAAGGTGTGAGTGTAGGAACACCATTTTCCCCATCAATGGAAGCCGCTGCTACTGTTCCATGTCTAGATTTAAAGGACTTCTCTCGATATTGAATCGGAGCAAAAGACAACAATTCAGATAATCTACTTGGAAGAGATATCTCAGACAACAATTCAAGTGTGTTTTTAAAAAGGGAGCTTACAAGGAAACAACACCGACATCTTCTAGTCGATAACAATTTACATATGCCCATTGCCTCAAGCAGGGGAACTTCCCAAATCTACCGCTAGTTTGTTGAGGAGTGCAAACTGTGTTCTTGTAAATAAGTAGAGCTTCGACGAATCTCGGTCTTAATATCAAAGAGAAGAATGAATCAATGAACTCATGGATATGAATCAAATTACTATATCAAAGAGCTAGTAAGTGAAAATTGCTTACTCTGAAAGAAAAGAAAGAAAGCTCACTGAAGAGGTTGTGACATAAACAGTTGGGTTGGGACAGTTGAATCAGCAAAAGCAGTGGCAGCCGCTGCCACCAGAACAAAAGCATTGTCAATATACCTCACTCCATTGATGTCTCCGGTGACCAACCATTTTCTAGCCACTCTAAAACGAGATTCACACCAAAATCTATCGGTTATTGTTATGAATTTACAGTTATATCATATCAGAGTAAAAGTAACCTTCAAGAGAGGACCTTTCTGTAATCACAAATTTGTAAAACAGAAAAAAGGGGGTAAAACTCCATAAAAAAGTAACCAAATAGATTGAGGCCATTCACATGAATAAAGGAATGGAGAAAGCTTCGGCAAGAGCAAATTAAAACAAGAACCTATCTGCATGGTGACAAGCACATATTTCTATGTTACTTTCTAGTAATTCAAACTTAAGAATATTGTGAGCTGGATTGAACAATAATGCTTCTCTTTACTGAGAAATTTGCATAAAAAAATGTCGGACTGAATTGAACGATAATGCTTCTCTTTACTGAAAATTCCAGCTAAGCTAGTAAAAGAAGAGTTAAATTGGTTGTCTTTATGGAAGTGGACAGATACAGTTATCTCTGTTTTTTTTAATCTTCTTCTTAACCTGCTAGCCAACGATGTTCATGTCTGTAAATCTCCATTTGGCATGCCAAAAAGCTTAAAAGATTCCCTGAAAGAATCTAAGAAAGTGGTCAACTGTCAGCCAAGAACAATGCTCGCCGGAGACCATCCACAGAAATGATATAATCTCTCTACCAAACATAATCTAACCAAAATCTTCAAATAATTCATAGGTTTTATCTGAAGAAAACAATAGCATTTGGTTAAAGTATACAACCAGACAGAAACATATATTCAAGGCTAAGCAAGAGCAAGTAAACAAAAAGTGATGAATCACAGCGACATAACATTGTCTCTGGAAACTATTTTTTGCAGGGAACTGTTCGAAGGTGAAGTCGCCATTGACAGAGTGCCTATATACTAATAAGCAAAGTGGCCAGCAAACACCAGAAACAAAAAACAATTATAGAATACGTACCATTAAAGCTGCTCGTCCTGCAGGCAGAGTTATCAAGTCAACAAAAAAAACAGCTTTTATTTCTTCCCAACTTTTTACAGTTCCCAGAGGGCTTCTTTTGTAGGTAAGCAACTAGGCATTGAAGAATGGAAGACTTCCAATAAGCAGCAAAGGACAGAAGAAGGCCATATAATTAAATTCTCTCGCACAAAATCTTCCCAAGTAGGACCCGATGTTTCCTTTTTAGGCAAAACAACAGTTATTCTCAATCAATGGATAACCCCATAGCATTTAAACTCCTTTTTAACACTTGAAAGATGGTGTAAAACTGGTCTCGTCTTGGAAGGGTAGGGTAGAGCCGTAGAGGTACGTATGGAGAAGGGAGGGGGAAAAAAGAAATTTTTTCCCTCATTCAGGGTCTTGGATGATGGGTCCTAATCAGGAAGGGGATTTGGTGGCAGAATTGTAATGAGCAGGCAATGAGCGAGGGACCATTGTTTTTGGATATAGTAGCTGAGGCAGACAATCACGTGAGGAAAAATGTGAAGACAGCCGCTCACATGCAATGCAATGCAACCACACCCGTTACGTTTCTTTCATTTATGGTTTTGGGGGGTCCATTTTTCATATGAATTCCACTACTTTTATATTTCCAAACAGGTAAAATACACCTTTCCTCGTTAAATTTTATTCATTTTCTTATTTTATTTATTGTATTTTTAATTTTTTAATTTATATATTAAACTTTTAAATTACTCATGTTTTGGTCAATCTAAATTATATTTTGGTGTGATATGACATTTTATTATTATTATTATTTAATTTAAATTATGTTTATATTAAATAATAATAAAAATCACATCATACCAAAATAATAGCAAAATAGTTTAAAGTGACCAAAACAAGAATAATTTAAAAGTTCATTATATAAATTGAAAAAAACATTAAAAATACAATGAATATTATAAGAGATAGAATAAAGTTTAATAAAGAATGTTGTAGCTTACCCTTCCAAATATGGACATTAGGGATGGGCATGAGACTCGAACTTGAAGGATTTCGACTTTTAAAGAAATTCGGGTTCGGGTCTGATTTCGGTTTAGTGTAGAAAATATTTGGCGCCACCCGACCCAAAAAATATAATTTTACCTTATATATTTAAGGATAATTATAATAATACTCCTCTATATATATTATTTTTCAATTAAATCTATATTTTTATTGAATAAAAATAATATTTTTATTATTATTTCGAGTCAGGTCAGGTCGGATTATAATTTTATCTTATAAAATCGGGTTGAGTGGATGGTGTAAATTTTTCGAGACATGTTGGGTGACGGGGGTACAACTTTTGGGTCGAGTCGATTTAGCCGAAACCTGACTCAAACTCGACCCGTGCTCATCCCATTGGAATCATCATTGCCGAGGGAAGGATCAAATAGGTAACGATGGATTTTCGACGAAATAATTTGAAAAGTTTATTTAAATTTTTTGAAATTTTAAATAATTTTTTTTTTTGAAAAATATCAGAGGCAGTAAAATTAAATTAACCAAAAATAAACAGCACACAAACCTTCTTACAATTTCACAATCAAAATATTGAAAGGTGTACGGCGGATACCTTAATTAATTGTAGTGAGCCTTAAAATGTCAGAACTCTCAAGTGATTGGGGCTTCAAAACACGATGAACCTAAAAGGATCTCTCTTCAATTTAACTGTGGGCTGTGCATCTCATGAATTTAGACATTGGAAAAAAGACCGATTTTTTTAAGTTGAATTAAGAAAGTGCAGAAAATTTTATCAGAAGCAAAATTCCGACGCCAAATTTCTCACAATAATCAGCGTTCTCGCTCAGGTCCCCAATCCAAGAAAAAGGAGTCTCTGCGTAATTCTTATTTTTTTTTATTTGTTGAAATTTTGTGATATTTGATGAAAATGCAGGAGCGTTTGCTTGGCGCCGCACTCGGAACCGCGTTGACAGGGATCATAGTATTTGAGCAACGGAAACGCATCTATGAATCGATTTCGGATCACCAGTCTCAACTCCCTTCCCAATCTCAGGTCCTTCTTTTTATTTGATTTCTGGTGCTTTCTTTTATATTTGCTATCTGAAACCCCTGAAAAGTAGCATATTGAAGTGCTTATAGTTATTTTATTTAAAAAATCAAGATTTAAGCTTCTTTTCTTAAATTAGTTCCAAGGAAAAACATATTTCTTATTAATTTGTGATGTCGTTGATTCTGTTTTTTTTTTCTGATTCTGATGAAAGGAAAAAGTGCTTTTGTATTCGAAGAATATTAGGAACTTCTGATGAATTTATAACCTTTGAAATTATTGGGATAATTCCATTGCCATAATTTTGTTACTTCTATTGCTATAGAAATTATCCTGCAACTGGAAGTCATTGTTAATGCCTGCCCCAATATCATCTGGCATGATAACTGATTAAACTGATGCCTAACGGTTTTTATAGAACAAGCAACTATGTCACAGTAAATGTGAGTGCAAAGTATAGAAGATGGGAATTTGATTGGTAGAAGTGCAAAAATCAAATGTGTAATGAGGAAACTAGGTTCTTAGTTTTGTATTTGTTTCTTGGAAGGAACTAGGAGATAACGGCTTCCTTCCCCCTTCATTTTCTGAATTTCTTATAAACTTCTTTTAGCTTTCTCCTTTACATTGTTCTTCCTAAGAATTGAGGTTGATCATGAGAAATCTTGTGTTCTGGTATAAATTTTCTAGGGTTACATGTAGAGAGATTGAGGCATATTATGACACCCTGTAACATTTGAAGTTTGGCATATTGTCACATTCTTCAATGTTTGAAATTCAAACTCTTCTTCTTAGTATCCGTCGATGTTCAAAAATTAATGATTGAACTCGTTGATCTTACTCCCTAGCTTTGCATAAGAAATGAAAAAACCTAAACTGTCTGGATATAATTATTAACAGGTTTAAGTGCTTAAGTTTCTAGTGTTACAGAGTTGTATCTTAAGAAGAGAAAGCAGAGTAGGCTCTTCTAAGATGTTATTAACATTCTTTTTAATTGTTTAAAAATGAGAAAGTAATTTCTGGATACATTTTGGTTTCTTCTGCAGTCTTTAAACCTTTGTAGTTAACATTAGGTTAATTGTTATTAACAATCAAATATCTTCAGCGATACTGTCACCCTATTGACATTTGACACCAATATTTATGTGACCTCTAATGAAGAAAGTATAAAACCTTAGATATGAGACTTATGCATGTGGTTTTGGAGTATATCTCATGTGGAACTATAGGAAATAGGAAGATATGAATTTGAAAGAAACCGTTAATGTCACTGAAATGATGAACCTGTTATTATCAGTTTTAGGCCAATACAAGCCTGCAGATTTTATCAAAAAAGAAAAAAATTGCTATACAATTATATTCGGCATTTACAAGTAAAACATTGTTTATCATTTGCATTGCATGGTACTAAATTCCCATAGTTTTTCTTTATTTTTATTCCAGATGAAAGAGACGATCTTTGGAAAGAAATCTCGCTCAGAGTTCGCTCTTCTATGGAACAAAGCTGTGGACCAGATATTTGTGCCAGTGATTGAGTCCATTAGTTCACGTCGTTGGTAGAAATTTGGAGTAACAACTGTTGATGTGTCTATTACTGCATACATCCTGGGGCCATGCTTTTAAAAAATTATTTATATATTCAGTTTCTTTTCCTTTTCGTTTAGGCTTGAATGTCTTAGAAGTAGATTGTTTTGTCTAATCTACATTGGATCATGAATATTGCCTTTGGAGCAGGCTGTATTCTTTACCAATTAGTTCTTTCCCTTGGGTTGGATTATGGAAACTTGAGTTTGAGAAAGAGGCTTTAGGGTTTTAAATCAGGGTTATCGATACCGACTATAGCAGTCAGCATCTTCCGGTTTTTAAGATTAAATGAAACAGTACCATATGGTATGAGATGCTTAACCTGAGATAACATAAACGGAATGAAATATGTATTCATCTTGCACTTTGAGATATGAATCTTTAGCAACTTGTTGAGTATACTATTTGCTTTTATGCAGTAAATTTGAACTGCAAAATTATTCGGACTTCCCTCAACTTGTTTTTGATCTTTCACCTGGTTCTACTTGGTTCCAATCTGCTAAGACTCCTGGTCGTTTTTCTTGAAACTCGTCATTTTTGGTTAAAATGATCTACTTACCCCAACCTGAATCATCAAATATAATCTTTGAGAATGTATTTGATTCCTATATCATAAGATTACATTTGAGAATAGGATTCTCGGAATATAGTATTTAGAGAATTTCACATTGTTTTGTTTGATTTATTTTATCGGAGTGTAAAATTACAGTATTTGGTTGAAAATATAAGATTATTTAAAAGTAAATTTTATCATATTATCATTGTAACATATTTTATTTTTAATAATTTAAACTTTTAATATTAGCAAGAAATTCATAAATGTATTTTTCCCTGATGCGAATGAAGGTAAGCTTATTACTGAATTTTTTCTTTTTTGGTATGTCAAGTGCAACTTAATGGTTTTGTCAAGCGTCTAAATCTACCCCCAATGCATTATGGTTTAGTTGACCAGTTCATAACATCAGAATATTGAGCGGTGATGCAAACGTTAAAAATGAATGTAAAAGTTGTTGGCATCAAGTATTTGTGGGTAGTGGAGCAGTTATCTCACATGGCTACTTGATCAACTCTTAAAGCCATGCAAGTTGGGGTATAAAATGAGAGAACTACAGTACCCTGTTTTTATCCTTTTCCCTCTATTGTTAATGATTATGGGCATTATCTCGGTTATCTTTCTTGATTTTCAAGGCCTAAATTTGTATGTGTCTGCCATTGCCTCGTACGATTGTGATGATCACAAAATCTCAAACAGTGGGGAAAACTCTATCACGCAATTATGCAACAAATTGGACCGTAAAATAAGATAACGAAAACCAAGAACAATAACAAATAAGATGGTTAAAAACGTAAAAGAAAGGCTTAATTCTGAACTGCCCTAACCTTGGCCTACATTATACAATGGAAAATACTGAAGATCGAATGATTTAAGCAGATTGAACATAGCTTGCTCAATTAGCATTGGTTCGACGAACGTTAAGCACGTAATAAACGCCCATTTTACCGTCCATTTTAGCAGCAATAGGCAATGGCGAGCAATTGGAACCTGCACAAGGGTTCTTGGTGTCTGGCACTTGGGTTTTGGGATGGAAGAATTCATATGCCGAGGGCGAGAAGGCCGCGGGATTCTCGTAGGCAATGCCATGGGGAGCTCTGCCTTCACCATTAGCAATAGTCAAAAGAGCCAAAGAAGATGAGAGAAGCAAGAATGAAACAAATGAACTCATTTAAAAAAAAAAATCGAGTTGCCTTTGAGTTCAACTCTAGGTGCCTTTACAATGGCTTTTATAAGGACCTTTTAAAGTGGTTGCTGTCGATGTTGCTTGGCATTTAATATTGAGAAGATAAATCATGCTTTCAAAAGTGCAAGCCATTCATTGAAAAACAGTTTTTAAGTTAAAAAACTAGTAATTCATTTTCAGCTATATATATATATACAGAGAGGACTTCTTTATCTATCTTAATCTTCATTGACTAACATCATCATTGTGCCTTTATTTCATATACTTGCCCCTGAAGCCAAGCTTTCTACCTGTCAGGGTTGGCTTCTCAAACACCCTTGATTGAGAACAAAAGCAATTATAATAACTCGATCACATTATCCATTATGCACTCAAATGAGAAGAAAATCATAGGCTTATCTCAATATTAACTGGAAATTATTACATCGTATAAAAATAATACAAACAGGCTCGGTTAACAATGCTGTGATGATTTTGTTATCATATTTTGTTTTATCATGAAAATATGGAGTGATGGGAAGCATAGGGGATTAACTTAGCTTTAAAGAACAGCAAAGGGCCTTTAAAAGCATATTTTATATTCACCATTATTGCAAGAGGGGTAAGCATGCAAACCCAAAAGCTACATCTAGTAATTAGTAATCCATTTATTCATATTATTTTTTTCATAAAAACATTTAAAATGTTATAAATTTTTATTATTGCATAGAAAAATAAATTAATGTTGAGATATTTAATCTAAAATTTAAAATGGATTTTTAATTTTATCAATGTAAAAATAAACAAAATTACAATAATAACATTTTTATCATTTAAAATTATAAAAGTAATTAAAATAAATAAATCACATTAAATATTATCTTTCATAAATATAAATAATTTCCTTAGTTTTTTCTTTTTATTATATTTTTTTGTTTACCCTCCTGCCTTCTTAGAGTTTTGTCTTGACTAATCCAGACCAATTCATGTTACACATCTTATTTTGACGGATAAATTTTCCAATGAAGATTTCATATATACACAAAGACACGAATTTGAAATTGACTTAAACAATATCAAATTGTTTATCGCTTGAATCAACCCGCTAATTATCTTCATATCACATTGAATACTTTATAACCTACAAAATTCCAACGAACCAATAGTGTGTCTTTCTATCAATGGTTTTGATTCAAGTGATAAACAATTTGATATCGCTTAAGTAAGGTCTCGGGTTCGGTCCTTATGTATGTAGAAATCCCCGCTAAAAGACTCACCCACAAGAGTTAAATGTGCGACGTTAGTCGATTCGGATTAATCAAGGTGAATATTTGAAACAAGAGGAAAAAAATAGTGTCTTCCTATGGCAGTAATATTTAAATCATTGGAGTTTTCATGCAGTATTGATGTATCTTACATTGGTCTGTTTTAGTCTGGTTTTGCAGTGGCCCCTTCAACATATCCCCGCGATTCTTGTTAGTCAGTGGGCTTTTAAGGCTTCACATGTTTTAAGCATTGCACCTCTAAAGTCACATGATTTATCCACATGTATTGAACATTCCCTTTGGAAAATTCGAGGGTATATATTATTTGAGGGTAAATGGATTATTTGATATTTTATATATTTTAATATTTTTGTTTTGATTATTTAATTTTTTTTAATTATATATAATATTACATTTTATTCTTATTTTGATATTATGTCAATAAAAAGTAAACAATGATACTAATGTGATTGTTGTTTTGATAATCCTTATGTAAGGGATCCTGGAATTGAATCCCATATCATTCTATCTATAAACTTTATCTTATGTTGTTTTTTATAATAAATTTAAATATAAATTTTAATAAAATAGTAATATATGAGCTAAACTTAATAATTAAGAGCAACACCCCTTTCGCAAGTGACATAGATTCAAGACCAATATGTTTCTTTCTTCTCAATTATTTAAAAAAAATACTAATTAAAATAAAATTATTTAAAAATAATAATATATAAATTACCGACGACGATGATAAATAAATATCAAATATATAATTTATCCTATTATTTATTCAATCATTATAATTGGGTTGGATCATCGAGGCTGAGAAACAAAAGCCCGTCCTATTTGTTCTGGACCTATAAGGCCTGTGTAAATATAACTCTGAATGTATGAAATAAATTTCCTTTATAATCGACCATCCACAAAAATAGGGATGGGCGTGGGATCCGAAATCGACGAGTTTTGAACTGATCTAATTCAATCGGGTCTTATTTTTTAAAAAATATTTAAGGTTCGGGTTGGTTTTTTAAGATTATGTTCAGGTCGGATCGGATTCGAGTTTAGAGTAAAAAATACACTATCCGACCTAACCAAAAAATATATATTTTTACCTCTATTTATGAATAATTGCAATAATATATCTTTATATATTATTTTCTTCCAATTAAATTCTTATTTTTATTGAATAGAAATAATTTTTTTAATAAATATATTATTTCGAGTCCGGTCAGATTAAATCATTTTCAGATTTTATCTCAAAAGCTAGATCAAATTCGGGTTAAGTGAAACGTGTATATTTTTCGAATTGAATTTGAGTCAGATGAAATATTTACAATTATCGGATAGGGTCGAATAGATTGAAAATTCAACCCAATCAGACCCATTCAAATCCCTACGTAAAAGACCGTACCTTCGATGATTGAGTGACATTTTATTAATTAAAATATGATTGAAAATTAGGGTTTGCGTATTAAGTTTTTGGGTCTTGCGAGAGCTCTGATGAGTGTAGAATACTCCGGGGAGGCAATAATTAATGCAAAGTTAATTCCAATATCTCACCTTCTTTGCCCTATAAAGAAAGTATCACAGAATAAGGACACGATAAGCTTAACTAATTCACTAATTAAGTATAATTATACGTGGAGGATGAGAAACGTCCGATTCCCCCTTTTTTTTTTTAACAAAACAAAAAGTAAAAGGACTTTTAGAAAGAGCCGCTAAATCAAATTCTCAGTTGGGTGAAAGAAGTATGATTGCTTTACTAATAGTTGAGACCCTGTTCGGAGACGTTTCGGCTTATATTCCTATTAATGTAATTTCGATTACAGATGGACAAATATTTTTATCCGTCGATCTATTCAATGTCGGAATCAGACCTGTTATTAATGTGGGGATTTCCGTCTCTAGATTAAAATTCGCGATCCAAATTAAAACTATGAAACAAGTCACGGGTAAATCAAAATTAGAATTGGCCCAATTGGCCGAATTAGAAGCCATTACGCAATTCGCTTCATCTCGATAAAGTTACTCATAATCAATTGGTAAGAGGTCAACGATTACGTGAGTTGCTTAAACAATTCCAATCAACCCCTCTTACGGTGGCAGAACAGATAAATACTATTTATACTTGAACCATTCTAGACCT